AATAAAATTAAAAAAAATACCTTTTATTATTGTGACATAGACCCATGTAATAAAAATTGCTTGTATTATTGAAAAATAGTAAAATATTATGTTTAGTTAAAAAAATGTTTATTTATAATGTGATAAATTGAAATTACAAGTTTTAGATGTACTCAACAACTTTTATATATAACTTTTATAACTTATATATATAGCTCAATGTAAAGCCGGTGAAATTATCAATTGCATTGTCAAACATACTTTCATGATGAGAAAAATTATCAAAACAAAGTGAATCTGCCAGAACAGCTTCTTTACCCAAACGGAAAAGTTCCAATAAAGTCTGCTAAATTGAATGACCTAAGAAAGTATATTCCACATGATCATATTGACTTTTATAATGAACTACTGCAATGGCCTACAGCAGATAGCAACAATGGAGAAGCAGAAAATGCTGGGGAAAATGATTAAGCATAGTCGATAAAATTTCTGTAATAGACCTTTTTTTCCTTAAATTTTTTGTTAAAATGTATAAACAATTCATAAATATACACTTTGTAAAGATTTATTGCAGTTTGTGACATTATTTTCTATAGCTCAATATTAAAATCATTATAAAATAAGCAGAAGTTATTTGCTGAATGTTAAAAGGGCTGAAGGCTGTTTATTGTTTCTTTAAAAATAAATATAAAAAAATATATTTTTGCTTTTAAGATGAAAAACATTATCTCCTTCAAAAAAAAATTGTTAAACCATTAACAAAAATTTACTGAGGAAGCAGTACTGTTTTTTTTAGTTTCCTAAAAGTTTACATCGTTGGACTTTTAACATTCACCGATTCAGTTGTTGTTGTTGAGAATTTGCAGTTTTTTGACTTTCAAAAACACATTCACTTGCGATTTCTTATATTACTTCCTTCACCTCATTATACTCTCTAATGTTATTGTCAAATATGTACTTTCAAAAATTCATATTCCCAAAAGCAATGGCGGCAGCTTCTGAAGCATAATAAAAATTTTTAGTGCAATGCGGAATACTCCCAGTTTCTATAAATATTAATAATGTCATAAAAGTTTTACCTCGATTAATTTTTTTTTAATCTGTTTTGATAAACTTTTATTTATATTCTTAGATGGTTTTTTACTTTCTAGTTCTTTACTACAATGCTTACAGAAAGAATTATCTCTTTCTTTTATACCTCAGTACTTAATGGTTAAAATATTTTAGTATCTTCTTACATTGCCACAACTTTTTAAATGTAAAACTTAATTTGTAAAATCCATTTACAAGTAATTTGTCAAATAAATATTATAGTTTACAATAATAACGAACATGATAACATATAAATTATATAGAAATTAAATTTCGATTTCGTTCTACTGTCGATTTGTTAACCGTAATAACTGATTTTATCGTGCATTAGATGTTGAGCAATTGCTCTCAACATTTAAAACTTTTGTTTCTATTTTTTTAGGGTCAAAAAAAAATAACAAACATACTGGACAAGGATGATAATAAATATTTTTTAGTCACCTTTGAGGTTTTGGGGAAACACAATAAGTTACATCTAGAAGAAATTTCTCAACACTAAAAACGAAGAACGATGATGCAAGCTAACTATTCTCTGATATGAGTTAATTAAGGCATGTGGGAAAACTATTTTTGCTACTATTGTTGATGAAATCCAAACAGCCATTTATTTTCCGTTGTTGTTAATGGAACTCCGAATGTGTCTCATACGAAACAAACCACTTTTGTTCTTTAATTTGTCCGCCTAAGACTTAATAACAAATGGATAGTAAAAGAGCGTTTTCTGAAGATAAAAAACCTGGAGAAAAAAAGAGTTCTGACATTGCGAAGCTGATTATAGACGTTTTAAATCAAAGCCGAATTGATTTAAAAAACTGTAGAGGTCAGGGCTATGATAACGGGGCTAACAAGTCCGGTTTTTATAAAGGATTGTAGGCTATCATTCTCGAGAAAATTCCTCAAGTTTTGCACATGCCTTGCATTGCGCATAGTCTCAATAGCTGGCGTTCATTCTGTGGAATCCTCTACTGTAGTTAAGATCTATCTTGGAAACATTCAATTGTTATATAACCTTTTTAATAGTTTTTATGCGCTGTTTAATATTTTTTTTTTTAACATATTTTATTAGTAGTAGTTTTAGAGGTTATTACTAGTTATTATTAGTTTTAGGAGCTATTAGTAGTTTTTAACGCTATTAGTAGTTTTTAATAGTTTTTATGTGCAGGAAAATTTTGACAAAGGCAACTGGGCTGCCCCTGCACAAAAAGTCTCAAACAAGATGGACAACGCGCATAGAGGGTGTGCGGCTATTATTAAAACGACCAAAAGAAATACTCAAGTCATTGCAACTTCCTCAAAAACTTCATTTAAAAGATCATCAACTGACTTTAGTTAAGGCACTCAATAAGTGGATTCAATTATTTGAATTTATTGCCTTGAATTATTTCTGGTTCAAAAGTCTCCCATGTGACAACAATGGCTGCCTCCTTTTTCATTCAGAAAACATTTATTTGGACAATGAAACAAAGTTTTTAAAGACTCAAATCAATGATCTTGACCAACAATGTTCTCCTTGGCCCCAAACCCACCAAAAAGTGAAACAAATTACATTTGGGCTAGCTTTGTTTGGGTTGCAAAATCATTTTGTTAAGAAAAGGAATCGGAGAAGAAAAACACTTCACGGCTAGTCGATGAACGCAGCCCACTTTCACAAAGACGAATTTTGTTCATTTGGTGGTCTTCATCTCCTTCTAGCGATGAAGAAACACTTAGACAGAAAGAAAATGCAAAGTCCTGGCAAATCTCTATGTAAATAATGTAAAAGAAAAGAAGTTGCTTGAAGAAATCCGTCATCTAGATTTTCTCAAGCAATCAAATTCTTTTGGAAAAATAGAATCCCTTTCTTCTATTAAGTTAACCGACGGAATCTACCAGAAAGGTTCTCAGTCAATAATTCTTTCCATCTGGATTTTGCTTCGCATTTTTAATACCTGGTTTCAGTGGCTGAATAAGAGTACTTTTTTGTAAACTTGCTTTCATCAAATCCATATTGCAATCAACAATGACTGAAGAACGCCTTACTAACCTAATGGTGATTTCAATTGAAAACGACCTTACCGAGACTTTATCGTACGAAAATGTCGTCTCTAGTTTCGCAATAAAAAAAAAGCGTTTTCGTTTTATTATAAATAAAACGAAAACAAATATCGAGAAAATTTAAGTATTGAAAGTTCAAATATCGAGTGTTGTTACGTGTAATGATACCTAATAGAAAAAAAATATATTGTTTTCTTTAAATTTTAATGTAATAGTAGGCTTAAGGACAGTAAACAATGAAACTCATGCTTAATTTAATATACCCAGAAATCCAAAATTTGGGGCGCCAACCAAAAATTGACCCCAGACACTACAATGTCTCTATGAGGGCCTGCCCCTGCTAACTACCTCTAAAACCAGACTGATAAGTTTATGATTACAGTACGTGCATTTTTTATAACTTAATTTTTAAATACTATTTACTCTTTTTTTAATTCTTATTTCGTTTTTTACTTCTCACCTATCATTATTTTCAATAATGATAGGTGAGATCTCACATTAAATTCAAAATTTTCACGTTGCAAACTTGCGCGCGTGTTTTTCAGAGTATTTTGCAAAATCTCAATACATGCTTGCGCCGTAACGTCTCATTAGCAAATATTAAATTTAATTATTTTATAATTTCTTGTCATTGTAAAATAAATTTTGTAAAATAAATTTTAAAAATTTAAACAAAAAATAAACTTAAAACGTACACTTTTATAAGAGAAAAGTATATATTGGCGATTGAGTACCATATGGCTTTCAAAAATTAGTAATTTTACAGAAAAACAACCTTTTTATTATTCATATTGGATATTAAATTTATGAAATAATACTATTATAATTCCCTTGATTTCATTACTTCCAGTTCAAAACAGATAGAAAAATAGTGCAAAGTCTATAACAGGAGTTTTAAGCTAGTCTTTAAATCATGTTTTAAGATGTGTTTACTGTTCATAGAGTAGGAATAGTGTTGAAAGAATTATAGACTTGTATACATTTGAATAAATCATATTCCAAAACAATTTGTTTATGACTTAACACAATTTATCTACATTATTATAGTTCAACACAATTTATTTGTGACAACACATACATGATAAATTAATTGATATTATGTATCAATTCAGATTGTTAATTAACTTATCATATTATTATGTACATGACACTATATATCAATATACAAATAACACTATCAGTATACCATGGTACTATGTATCGATAGTTTGTTTTGTCTTTTTATTTGATTGTTGTTGTTTATTTCAAGAAAATGGTTTCAATAGTTATAATATTTTGTTTTTAATATGTTGATAAAACTTTAAAATTTGACAGCTTTTCTATTTTTTACAATGATTGAATCCAATTTATTTAAACTTTATGAGTCAACTAGTCACAGTTGATTCTTGTTGCATTTAGTAACTATTGTTTATTAACAGTCATTATTTGTACCTGTCTCAAATTTAAATATTGAAAGCTAGCCAACAATAAGATAATCCTAAAAAAAAATAATTTGATTAAATTTACTAATGAAAACAGTTTTTTTTATATATTGTAAATTCTTCATCAGATTTGGAAAAAAGAAGTTTTTTTTTTTTTTTTTTTTTTTTTTTTGCAGAGCAAAAAGATTACATTGATTGTGATAGAGTAGCATCTGCTTTGGAAAGTAAAACTTTCTAATAAATAGATCAACTTCTTTTTAGGAAATAGATTTAGTTATATCATAAAATTTATTTCTAATATACATCATAAAGACATTACTATTTGATAGCTCATCCTAAATATAATATATAGTATATAGTATATAGTATATAGTATATATATATATATATATATATATATATATATATATATATATATATATATATATATATATATATATATATATATATATATATATATATATATATATATAATTTAAGAATAATATAATAATAAAGGAGATGAATGATCTTAATAAGAATATAGAACTTTTTGTCAATATTTTGGGCATGGCTAGAACATCAACTGTTGAAAAATGGGACAAAGAAGCATTTTTAAGAGCATTTAAATGGGCTCATTATTTTGAGCAGGTATTTATATGTTTTGTTATGCATGTTTAATTTAATATTTATTAGTGTTAATGCTATTTTATTTATTATTTTTATTTATTTGTGTTGTTATTATTCATTATTTTTCAATTCATATAATAGCTATCGTGGTTATATCATTTATATTTGTTGTCATTGTTTAATGCAATGCAAATTTATTTTGTTTTCATGTTATTTATTAAAAAAAAAAAATTTATAATTAACATGAAAATAATTAAAATGATTACAACAACAAAGTTTGCATATATTTTATATAATATATATTATATTATATTATTATATTATATATATTATATTATATTATATTATATATAATATATATATAATATATTTTATAGTAATTCCATGTTAAATGACACGGGCCATGTAACCATACGTTTCAGACTTTGCTAAGTTAAAAATAGTGGGCCACTTTTTTGTAGCAGAACATTGGAATTGACTTTTCACTACCTTCCAGACTAGCTGGAACTCTGAAAATTTTGGCATTTCTGTAGTGCCAATAAATGTGCATTTTAAAATTGTTTTCAGGGCCCCAAGACAAACTGGAATTTTTCCAGGGCAGAGGACATTTTTTCAAAAAAAATTATTATTATTTTTTTTAATAAAATAAAGATAACTTTGAAAATATTGTTTTCAAATTTTTTTTTGGTTTGTACTTGTTCTGTTTTATTTAACTATTTACAAAATAAAATACAAAAATATAAAGTCTCAAGATTGTGTTAAGGTTTGCTTATATGTGTCAACAGTCAAAGTATCCCAATTGTCATTTTCTGGGTCATTTGACAAAAGTTACTCCTTAATTCAAGTTTATTTTTGTGGATGTACACTTAACAGTAAAACTATTTAATATTATGAGCAACCGTGGCGTAGTGGAAGCACACTTGCCTCAGAAAAAAAAGATCCGTGGTTCAAACCCCACCTCTGGGCAAGTTTGGCGACATCGGTTGGGAAGGAGGCGTGAACTTCCTATTAAATGCTCATCCGCGGTGCTCTGTTATAAGACCATAAGGACTTCTTGGAGCACCTAAAATAAAAAAATAAAAAATATAATAAAATAAATAAATATATATATATATATATATATATATATATATATATATATATATATATATATATATATATATACATATATATATATATATATATATATATATATATATATATATATATATATATATATATATATATATATATATATATATATATATATATATATATATATATATATATATATATATATATATTAGTAACAAAATTTATTATTCAAATATTTTTTTACAAATATATAACAATTAATTTTTATTATTTTCCTATTATATAACAGACTTGGTTGGGAAGCGGGAGCGATCACTCTTGAATACTGACTGCGGAAATTATATTTAGTTGCAAAAAACTGGCCAGGTTTTTAAGTTGTTTTGAGAACATTTAAGTTTATGAGTTAAACAAAAAAATTTTTTTTATGGACATATATGGAAACATAAAAAACTTGAATGTTCTCAAAACATTTTGGTGCGGAAGAATAAAAAGAATTTTCGCGAAGACTAAAAACCCGTCAAGTTAACAAACAAACTAATTCTATTAGTTCAAAAAATACGTGACTAAGCAAAATAAAGTTATTATTTACGATTTGTTACGTTTTGAGATTTCTAGCATAATAATATATTATTAATACTATGGCTCATTCTCGGAGCCACATCTTGTTAATCTTATAAACTATTATTATTTGTTTACAAAAATAAATGTTTTAAATATATGTTATTTAAATTGTCAAAATTTTGAAAGTTTATTATAAATTATAGATTTAAATAGTATATTCTTATTTTTTTTTATTTAAAAAATATGTATTTTTTATGTAAATGTTATTTTGTGTATCTGTTTTTTATCGTATTGTAATCTTTTAAAGCAATTTTTATGATTTAATTTGTAAACAAAGGCTTACAAAAATAGTTGTAATTTCAATGAAGTTATTGATAATTATTAAAGTTAATAAAACTAATTATGCAACAAACATAAGAAGTTTCTGGTTACTAAACACAAACAATGCATACAAAGTAACTCGCGGATGAACAAGCACCGCGCATAAGGTCACGACAGAACACAAATATATATAGTAAGTTATTAGATATAAAGAGAAGTTTCTAGATATTTGTTTACTAACTCTAATTATTTTTGCTTAAGTTGCCATTCCTAAAAACTTGTTATACTTTTTTCTCTCTTTTTTCTCTCACTCACCAAACATCATCAGCGGTATTGTGAAGCTACTTCACTTCCTCGTAATAAAGTATTTTTAACCTTTTTAGTTGCGCTTCCTGGGAAGACTTGATATATATATATATATATATATATACACACACACACACACACACACACACACACACACACACACACACACACACACACACACACACACACACAGAGTCAGAAAAAAAAGTCAGAACAAAACATTTTATTGTGAAAAATAAACTTTGTTAGGTTCTTTTAGAAAAAAGATTAGTTTATAATAAAAAAATTTACGATTATTATGAAAGCAAATTTAATGAAGAATTTAATAAGAAAAAAATACAATTACAATAATCAATTTAAATTGCTAAAAAGTTAATGATACATTCAAACTATGCAGTTTTTCAACATTAAGTATCCAAACAAAATTTTAAAGATTAAATGTTTCTCCCAATAATTGAATTTTTTAAAATTTTAATATCTAGTTAGACCGCCTTTAGCTTTTATGACTTGCAAGTCAATTCTGCATTGATTGAACTAATTTCTTTGTCTTCTTGATTTTGAGATCTTGACTTTGAGCCAGCCATTCATGTAACTCAATCTGCTTTCAGATAAAAAAAAATCTTTTGCTTTCTTTTACGTATGCTTAGGGTCTTTGTCTTGTTGGGCGATAAAATATTTTCCAAATCACAGTTTTTTAGTTAAGGCCAGAAGATTTTTATTAAGAATATTGACAAAATGTCCAGAACTCCATTAATAAACTCCAGCTTTTTTGTTCTATTCCAAGCCATTGATCTCAATACCATAATATTGCCTCCACCAAATTTAACTGCTCCTCAAATACAACTAAGTGTGAATGCTTCATCTTTTTTTCTCCATATTTTTTGAGCTCCAACCTTTACAAGAGTAAATTTTGACTTGTCAGTCTACAAAACTTTCTTCCAGAATGATACCGGCATATTTACATATTTTTTAGCAAATGGAAGTCTTTGATTATGGGTTTTTCCAATGGGTTTTGGAAAGGAATGGTTTCTGGCGTGGAACTCTTGCTTTAAATCCGCCTTCTTTCAATTGATTTCAAATAGTACATGGACTAATACATGATGTATTCCAAGTTCTTTTTCAAGAATGCTTGACCCTTTTGATTCATACATTTTGTATATAGTTCGTTATATAATATAAATACTAAATATACAACCACATTCTTGCAACATGTATGCTTGGATAGGTTTGCACTTTCACTATTATGGGAGCCAGTAATGGCAATGTTGGAAAAAATAAAACATATTAAATTTAGTTTTTTTTTTTGGTACAAATTTAAGAAACTGACAAGCATTATTCTTGCTTGAGCATTTGATTGATAGTTTTTTTATTTATGATTATGAATGGTAGTTATTTATTTATGATTATGAATGATAGTTATTTGTTTATGATTATGAATGAACAGTTGGTTCTATTTTATTACATTCAAAACACTCAGTAAAATTTATTGAAAAAAGTTTAAAATTTTTTACTACATCCAAAGTTTATTACTTCATTTTATTTGTTTTGTTTCTTTCTTAAAATCCTTTCTGTTATATTCTTATATATAGGTTTATAAGAAGACAAAATTGAAGCCAAATGTAGCTGAAAAAATAAGTCAGCAGCTTGAAGTTGCCTGCAGTGATATAAATGCAAAATTAGGTTTATCTCCGCTTTCTTACAGTGACTTTGAACGAGCTACACATATTTTACGCAAGTATCTCCTTGAAAATCCTTATTTGAGCAATGAGTTTTATCTTGAGTTGGTTAGTCAATTAAAACTTTCAGAAGTCGATGAAATGAAAAAACATATTGGATCTTTATCAAAACTCAAGGCTGCCTTACAAATACTGCAATTGATGTTACACAAAAAATATGACACACAATCAGAAATAAGAAATCGAGATATTGAAAGTCATCATAAAGAACACATAACAAAAGAAAAAATTCAGCTCAACACTAATGCTGAACTTTTAAAGAAATGCTTAAAAAATATTTTAAATAGTGGTAATTTGTTTGTTTAAATCTTATGATTAATGCATAAAGACATTTGAATTACATGTCACTTGATATTTACCAACTTTCTTGATTTGAAGTTTTATTGATGTTGTTTTTATTTAATTAAATATAATATTGTATTTGAATGTTAGTCTATTGTATTTTTAAATGATACTGTGAAACTGGAACTCATTTTTGATTAACTTGTTACCAATGACCTTTGACGTTCGATGCATTTAGTCAGGCAATTATGTTTCAAATGCATTTTAGGTACATGTAATGGTTCACTGCTGTACAAAAAGTTGCTTAGTATGGTTAATCAAAAAAAAGGAATTGATGTTTTGATTATGACATTAGTCTTTGGAGAGCGAGATGAAAAAGTAGCAAAGTATGTTCTTGATTTTATAAAAGGTATCAAATACAATTTTCAATTGTTTTTACTAGCAAAATATTATTTTCTTCAAAAAGAAGTAAAACACTTTTTATTATTCATTAAAAACTTTCATAAAAGTTTTGCGAAAATGCTAAAAGAATAATGCTAAAAAATATTAACCTGATTCATAATTTTAAAAGTAATAATCATTTTTATCATAGTTAAAAGACAAAAAAAACAATGATGGTATAAATAAAGTTTGTTAATAAAAAATTATTATCTATAAGTGAAAAAATATTAAATAAATTTTATAAATTTTTATGCATTCGCCCTTGCAGTGCTAATATTTTTTATATTAGCATTGCAAGGGCGAATGCATAAAAATTTATAAAATTTATTTTAGCAGGATGACTATATTATGTTTTAAAATACAATATTTTATTATTTAAACTTTGAATTTTGTTACAAATAATTTTACATTATGTTGCATGTTTGACATGGCTTTTGTTTGGTGATTTTCAAATGGCAAGATTGACATGTACTCCTGCTTTGGAATTTTTAAATGGTAATATGGACATGTGTTTCTGCCTTGCGATTTTTAACTGCAGTTCTAAAAAAAATTTAAAGGAAACCAATTGATTTCATTGCCTTTCTTGTGTAATAGCTTTTGAAGTAAATGCTAAAAACTTTTGAAGTAAATGCTAAAAACTTTTGAAGTAAATGCTAAAAACTTTTGAAGTAAATGCTAAAAACTTTTGAAGTAAATGCTAAAAACTTTTCCAAATAAATTGAGATCATGATCTTATTTGCTCATTGAAGTAATCGAATAGAAAGTAAAAGATTTTTGCATTTTTTATTCTTGAAACTTATTTTATGTAACTACCACCAACCATACTAACTTATGTTACTCAATTTTCATTTTTATTCATTTAAATATCTCCTCATTATGACTAATAGAATTCTATTTTGCATTGTAATTACAACTAGCTAGATAAAAATTTGAGCATTCTGTTTATTAAAGAATATGTTTATTTTGAGTGTGCGATATTTTGCATCGCTTAGCATTAGAAGTTGGCATTGTGGATAATTATTTTCAGATGTTAATGCCCTATCACTAAATTATGTACCAATTTACACTAATAAAATCCTGGATGAATCTAAACCTTCTGGGCAGTATCCAAACTTTATATTAAAAGATTTATAAAAGAATCAACATTTCTCAATCTAACTATTTTTATTTTTTTAGTGTTTTTATTTTGTTTTGTTAATATTTTCATATAAGATACCATGCTAAATATTTTTGTACAAATCATATCAGGAGGGTTAGTATCATTAATGACATCCCAAATAAATGAATATTAAAATTCTCTAGTTTCTGAAGTATCTATAGTTAAACTTAATAAAAAGTAATTTTTATGCAAGATAACTGTATATATGTATATATATATATATATATATATATATATATATATATATATATATATATATATATATATATATATATATATATATATATTGTAGAATATTTTTTGTATAATAATGTACAAAAAAACTCTTGTTCGTTTAGAAGTGATCGATATTAAAAAAACAAAGATTTTTATAATAGATCTAATATAATTATTTAGTATTAAAATGAAAAAAATACAACTTTTTGTTGGTACTCAGAGCTTCATGCCTGGCGGCAATCATCAACCATATATATTTTTTTAAATCAAGAAATTAAAAAACCGTTTAAAATACAAATTAAGCAATGCAATGGTATCTGACGTTAAAACATTGACTACATGAAGTCTACCTTAGCCCTTAGTCGAATTGACAAAGAAGGAATTTATTTCTATGCCGACATTTTGATATAATTTCAGTCTTTTTATTTAATAAACTATTGTCATTATTTGAAATAATTTCATATTTTTCATTAAGGCATAATTTGGACGATTTTGTTGTCAGGTTATATGCTTCACATCTTCTAATTATTTGAAATATGCTTCACATCTTCTAATTATTTGAAATATTATTCTAAATATTTTTATTTAATCTGGTACAACCCACCCTATAGCATAAATGTCACCACAAATATAGGGAAAAACTTATTAAACTTGATTGTCAAACATTTTCCAATTAACAACAGACTACACAAAATTTTCAACAAAAACACAGTAAAAATCAGCTTCAGTTGCATGCCAAACATAAAATTAATAATAAATTTACACAACAAGCACATCCTAAACAAAAATCTAACCATTAATAAAGATAACTGCAACTGCCTTAATAAAAATAATTGTCCTTTACACAATAACTGCTTGACCAACAACATTGTATACCAAGCAACCATCACCTTGGATAACCCTTCAATAAAAAAATCATACATTGGTATTTGTGAAACATCTTTCAAACTGAGATATGCTAACCATTTGAAATCGTTTAATATCCCTAAGTAAAGCTGTCAAAAGAGGTTTGGAACTTAAAAGATAATGATAAAAATCCTGTTATCAATTGGAAAATAATTAGAAGATGTGAAGCATATAACCTGACAACAAAATCGTACAAATTATGCCTTAATGAAAAATATGAAATTATTTCAAATAATGACAATAGTTTATTAAATAAAAAGACTGAAATTATATCAAAATGTCGGCATAGAAATAAATTCCTTCTTTGTCAATTCGACTAAAGGCTAAGGTAGACTTCGTGTAGTCAATGTTTTAACGTCAGATACCATTGCATTGCTTAATTTGTATTTTAAACTGTTTTTTAATTTCTTGATTTAAAAAAATATATATGGTTGATGATTGCCGCCAGGCATGAAGCTCTGAGTACCAACAAAAAGTTGTATTTTTTTCATTTTAATACTAAATAATTATATATATATATATATATATATATATATATATATATATATATATATATATATATATATATATATATATATTAGGGTGTCCCAAAAAACAACTTTTTTAAAAATAATCTGCTCTCACCCCCTACATGTGTTCTATCTAATACAAAAACACTAAGTTTAAATTTTTTTTCAATAAAAAATAATTTAAAGGGTCCCTCAAGACCCTCGAATATTTAATGGGTCCCTAATATTTTCAAAAAAAAAGTTTTTAAAATGTCAACCTGGTACTCAAATGAAGTGAAATTATATTAAAATTTCAAAAATAATGTTCATTTTAGAAAAAACAATACATAACGATATTTCCCTTAAAATATATAATATTTGCCAAAACAAAAAACAATTTTCTGTAAAAAATCGCCGATTTCGTTAAAAAAAAAAAGATGCTCAATTTTCAATTTAGGGGCGGCGCCCAAATACAGTCGGCGCTGCTGAAAATGGTCTAGAATAGCCCCTAAATTGAGGATCTTTTTTTTTTTTAACGAAATCGGCGATTTTTTTACAGAAAATTGTTTTTTGTTTTGGCAAATATTATATATTTTAAGGAAAATATCGTTACGTATTGTTTTTTCCCAAATGAACATTATTTTTGAAATTTTAATATAATTTCGCTTCATTTGAGTACCAGGTTGACATAATTTTTAAAAACGTTTTTTTTGAAAATATTAGGTACCCATTAAATATTCGAGGGTCTTGAGGGACCCTTTAAATTATTTTGTATTGAAAAAAAATTTAAACTTAGTGTTTTTGTATTAGATAGAACACATTTAGGGGGTGAGAGTAGATTATTTTTAAAAAAGTTGTTTTTTGGGACACCCTAATATATATATATATATATATATATATATATATATATATATATATATATATATATATATATATATATATATATATATATATATATATATATATATACACACACAAAAATATTTCACCTTCAGATGTAATGGTGATTACTTGGAAAAATGAATGGAGAGATTTTTTACAAATTCCATCAATTCATTTATTTGCTGATTGTGCAAAAGAGTATAATGTTTTCTTTGAAGAATATTTAAAGATGTTGGAATTCTGTGCTGAGAAATTGCAAAAGGAATTGGAGGAAAATCCAGAGATACAATTTGATTTGTAAGTTCTTTAACTTTTTTGTTGTTTCTAAAGTTTTTTTCTAAAACCCAATTTTAATCAAATATAAGTTAAATACAAAGAAAAAGAAAACTATAAAAAGATTTTTACCAGACTTAGTTTATTCTAATTTTATTTTATTTTTTTCAGTTTTCATTTTTGAATTTTCATTCATGTCTTTGTCTAATATGGTAACATTCTTATTTATAAAAGTTTTTCAGCAAACCACAGCACGCTCACACTTTTTTTTTTTTTTTTTTTTAAATGTATGAATACTAGTTTAAAAATAGATTTAAATTGAATTATTAAGGCTTTGGTCCTATTTTTTTAAAACTTTTAGAATTTTGTATAATTTCTAATTTAATTATACCAAAATGCATAACTTAAAAAAATGTGTTGTAAGTTGTAAACTTTAATGCATACTATAAAACATCGGCATTTTTATGTAATATTTATACATAGATGTTGCAAAAAGCAATTTAAATTGTTTGATTTATTAAAATTTGAATTTTGATTTTGAATAGTAGTATTAAATGGAGATTTGAATTAGATAAGTACAACCCTATCATAAACTATCATAAAGTATTAAATGGAGATTTAAATTAGATAAGTACAACCCTATCATAAACTATCATAAAGGAAAAGTTTTATGAAAAATAAATGACCTATTTTCACTATTATTTTTATAAACATTTGCAAGACTTCTCAAAAAATTTACATTTTTTATAAAAATTTACAAGACTTTTGACCATGAGAAATATACAAAGTGTTTTGAAAAATAAATTTTTAGTAAAGTTTTATTAGGAAAAACGTTAAGCCAATCCAAAGCAACACATAAGTACAGACTGTGCAGTTTTTATCTGCTTCTATCGAAATGACAGTTTACGAATTATTAGATTTTTAATTAATAAATAATTTTGGGAAACAACAGCATTTATTAGAGATACTTGACAAATTGTTTGGTTTTTAATTAGAAAATATTGATAATTATTGAAAATATTGATGATTATTGAAAATATTGATAATAGTCAATCTAGTTTTAGTTAATAAATCTTGATTATTTTATTTATAGATATAAAGGTAATTTTTTTATATTTTGCTTTTGGATTTTGATAACTTAGCGATTAAAATGCTGGCAACTCCATACCAATTAGAACCTCCTTAAAAAAAGACAAAGAAATCATATATGGATTTAAAAAAAAAAAAAAATAGCTAACAATCACATCAGCTATGAAAATTTGAATTTTGATATTGCTAAAGTGTCAAAATTAAATGATAATAATGATATTACAATTATGGTGTACACATATATACACATAATTAAAGTTGCACGGAACAGAATGAATTATATATTTATCTTTAGCTAAAAAAAACCAGCTCATTTAGCTGCAGTTATACAACCACAGAAAATGGTGCGCTGCGGTAACTATAATAGTTGCTGGTCTAGTTTTATTTTTGAAACTGTCTATAGTAGAGAGTAACCCCAACCGAATTATTAAAAAAAGTTAAATTAAGCTAAGTAACTGCTTTTGATTTCACCATGAAAGCATTTGCAATGATCATAGATGGGAGGAATGAATATCAGGTCAGTATACCTTTTGATTAAATCAGTTTTGTTTTTAATTTTGAATTCTTCTGTCACTTAGTGAAGATAGTCCAAGTCCATTTAGTCAAGTTAGTCCACTGCTGAAAATTGTTAAAATACTGTTGATATTCCTGCTCTAAAAATGTTGCTGGGCTGGCTCTTCCTGCTAAACTAGAGCCTTTGTTCTATTGTCCCAAAGTTGTTTCTTTTTCCCCTTTCTACAAATTCTGCCATTGTTGTTGTTCAACCAAACTGTTTGTTCCTCTCAATCAAAAAATTTATCTTTCTCATCACTCAGCAAAATCACATCCTTTTGTTTCTTTATGCTGAAAAAAATTTTATTCATCTAGTTTTTTCATCAAACGTTGGTGCTTTAAAATATTCTCTTGTCTTTGTGTTTTCCTGTTTTATGCAATTTACAGTTTTTATTTCTTGTCTACCTTGCTTTTTAACTCTTTGTTTTCTGTTCCAATTTAATTAATGGCTACAATAATTATAATGGCACCATTGTTAACATGGCAACATTGTTAGGATAAAAATTGTTTTAAAAATAAACAGTAGCTGATCTAGTTTCTTATATTTTTTTCTATTTTCTGTTAAAAGTATCTAGAATTCTGTTAAAAATATTTTTCATTTGTATTTCTAGCTGTTGGAATCTCAGATGCATAAAGTTCTTTGTCTGTCCCTTTAAAATAAAAAAATATATCTTTGACTTTTCTGTGAAAATAATGAATATTATTATTAAAGCATTATTGGGAGTAACAAAAATGAAAATAAAAAAAAAGTAAAATTGAAGTTTACCCATTGTTTCAATTTTGAAAATATTACTTTTTTTTTTACTTGGAATAATACATTATTTTATTTTAGTTTAATAAAGTTATAACATCATTTTTTAACAAATAATATTTTTCATCGGTATCACAGCAATGTTATTCCGTACATTAACATGTAAACTATGTTAAACTTGTTTAAATTTTTTTCTTTGGTAAACTTTATTCTTGAACTGCTTTATGCTTTTGTATAATTAGATAGTTTAAGCATACAAGCGTTATCGGGTCATAAAGATGTTATTAGACATCAATGAAATTTCGGATGTTATTGCACAGATGTTAATTCAGTAAAGAAAAAAAGCAGATGATCTTACACAAAAATGTGCGGATGTTATTTCACTACTCCACGGATGTTGTTGGACAGATGTAGTAATCTTTTCCCGCGTTATCTCTAGGCGGTGTTCGTACAAACGCTATCAAGTTTGCTACCACGGCAAATTTCAAAAACTTTAAGCATAAAAAAACTTTCAATATGCCCGTTTCAAGTCATTAATTTTCATGAGAACAATTCCAAAAAAATCTGCTTTATAAGCAATCAAAGCAATCTTACTAAAAAATCTGCATCAAAGTTTACTTTAAATTTAATGATGACATCGGGTGACGTTAACCTCAAAAATATTAAAGCAAATAATTAGAAACAAAAGTATCAGTTTTAAACTCATTATTTATGCTTTAAGATCGATTCCCAGCAGGTACATTATGTCCGCTGGATGTCTTACGGACAAGTGACGTCCATAAGACGTCATGTAGAGATCCATTGGACGCTGGGTTGATTAAGTGCGATTTTGTGTGAAATGAAATTTTAAGTGCAATTTTTTGGTACTCAAAAAAAGTATTTCAAAAATTTAATCGTGAGTTTGATTTTGTAAAATAAATGTAAAGATGTCAGAGATTAAATTGTGGAAAGTGTTGTTTGCTCAAATTTTGATCTTCACCCAGACAACATTTTGTTTCTTAATTTTTGGTTGTATTTTAAATGTAGTTTTTATTCTTTGGCTCTATTCAAGAGCATTTGTAACAAGTTTCACCTTACAACTTATGTAAGAAGAATTATATTTACAAATAAAACAAAAATATCACAATTTCAGTTTTCCGTTTAAAAGTGAAAGATGTTAAACTAAAATTTTGAATAGACATAAAAAATCACATTAATATACGTTGCAGCACTACAAATTAAAAATTTCAAGAAAATTTCAGTATATATATATATATATATATATATATATATATATATATATATATATATATATATATATATATATATATATATATATATATATATATATATATATATATATATATATATATATATATATATATATATATATATATATATATATATATATATATATATATATATTAGGGTGCATCAAAAACAATTCTAAATGTGTTCTTTATAATAGAATAACAAATTTTAAAATTTTTTGAAAAAAAATATTTTAAGAGGTGCCCCAAAACCTTTGAATTTATAAGGTTCCTAATATCTATGTAAAAAAAGTTCTTCAAAAGTAGATCAGCGAAACTATGTAAAAATTTCGAAAATAATAATTGTTACGTATAAAAACTTACATAGGTGTTCATGTTCGTATTACAACACTTTTATACGCTAGCACCTTTTTTTTAAAACATGGCACCTTTTTCCGTAATAGTGTAATACCTTTTTCAGTTACATCTTGCGCTTTATTTAAATAAATGTACTTTAAATAAATCAAAAGAAAATTTTTTCATTTTTATTTTATTAATAATCTTAGTTTTTATGACATCATTAGACTTACAAAATCGTTATATTTATATATATATATATATATATATATATATATATATATATATATATATATATATATATATATATATATATATATATATATATATATATATATTCTTAACCTTGTAATTATTATTATTATTTTAGTTATGATAGTCCTTCTAATAATGAGTGCTCTGCAAACAATGGGTGCTCTTCAAGTGGCGTATCCACATATTATTACTTACTCCAAAATTCTATTCAAACTTTGGCTAAATCTAGCTGTGAAAGTGAAGAGAAAGTATTGAACTTTTTAAAAAAGCGCTGTTCAACATTATCTTCGAATACTTCTGATAGAAATGTTTGGAAAAAGTTAGCTTGTGCAATGAAAATCTCTATGTGAGAACTCTTTAAAGAATAATAGCAAATAAAGTATAATAATATTAATTCAATAATTTCAATGAGTTGTTGTAATTTAATATGATTTATTTTTAAACTTTTAAGTTTATTTTTAAACTTGTGTGACTAATTTCATCATCGAATAAATGTTCTGGAGGACAGGGCTTTAATGCAGGCTTTAAGCAAATGATTTTATAACAGTTTATTTTGGTTTCTAATTATTGTTCTTCTAATTATTATTCTGCTAATCAAAATAAGTAAATTTGTAACATAAATTAATATAAAATAAATGCAAAATTATTTTTTATTTTTAATTTATTCATTTAAATAATTTTGTTGCAATAATTTTTAAAAATTCTTTCTGCTAATATGACAAAATCAACTATCGCATCACCAAAATGAAAAAAAAAGTTTGATGCAAATATTTCATTTTGAAAAACTTTTATTAAAATTAATTATCTAGAAGCGACAAAAAATCAAAAAAACAGTTTTTTCTTTACATAAAAATTTCCAAATTTTCTAAAAACAAAATTTATTTAATTTATAAAACATAAAATACAGCTAAGTTCTAATTTTTAATTTTTTAAAAGCACCCATTAAGTACTAATTTTTAAAAGTACTCTGCTGTATTTTATGTTTTATATATTAAATAAGTTATCAAGTACTGCAAGAAATGTCATTGAAACAATTTAATACAAAATTATGTTACGTTTGTACAATCCAAGTAAATTCCTAATATTATTCTGACGAATATTTTCTGGAGGAAAAGACATTTCATTGCTTAAATATTATTAATCTATTTTCACTCTATTGTTATTATGTGTAAGGAACTTTGCATAGTTTGTGGCGATTCCTCTATCTGCTGTGTTACTTGTGTACAGGAAGTTTTGAACAAAAACGTTACTTTCAGAAATTATTAATTATTTCCTTATTGGACTGGTCATTTCAAGATCATTAATTATTACAAGCTTAAAAAGGGTCCAAATACATTGGATCAAATACAAGTTCAAATTACGTTATTTTTAGATTCCTAAATACGATTACAAATATTTGTATTTTAGGTAAGAAAAAATACAAAAAAATTTAACCTACTTTTTGTTATACTAAGTCAATAACTAAATATCAACAAATCTATCTAGTGGCATTGCTCCTAGTAAAGTTACTGTCACTTATCGGTTGCTTTGCTTTGTTTGAGAGTTGATCCAAGACTTTGTTCCTGATTTTAAGTTTTAAATTTCAAAAATCTTTTTGTAGACAGTTTGTTTCCCAAAAAAATAACAGTAAGTCCGTCTGATTTTTTTTTTCTTGATTTCTTGCGGGCGCGTTCGACAGTTAATGTACTAAGAGATAAATCATTGAAGGAGTTGAAAAAATAAACGTTTTAGATTTCTTTGTTTGAGACAATGGGGAAGTTGGAAAAAAGTCTAATGAATTATTTTTTATTTCAAAAATTTCTTCTCCTTCATCTTAAGTTTCTTGATGATGCATTTGGTTGGTACTCTTTCTTTTTCGTTCTTGGTTTTACTGAATTCGAAATTGTATACTAAATATCTCATATTAGTGAATATCGCATTAAGTAATATCTCTTATTAGTAAATGATCACAAGTATATCTTTAAAGTTTTTTTTTGTTGTTGTTGCTTTTTCAAAGTTGATCTTTGATCTAGCAAAATCTTCCTTCCTTAATTTAACAGATCGACTTTGATTCTTCCATTCACATTGAATGTTTCAATGGCATAAGCAAAAGAGAAATCGTAGAGCTTAATCATCTTTTCTTTGAAACACAACTTGTTTATGAGCATTTTGGCGTTTCATAAGTTTCAGTTAAATCTTATTATTGATAGTTTTTGTCTCATCATCTACTTGATAATCGATTGTTAAGAAAGATACGTTTCTAACTCATTAGAGCAATCTCTATTGAGTTAATTCAAAGTTATTTGGTGCTCTAAGAAGCTCCAACAATCTTATCACAGAGCACCGCGAAAAACCAAGAGTTTCCTTTCCATTTACGTATATATGGCCACAGTCGGCTTAAATGCTCAACAGTCTCAAGAGGCATTCTTAAAAGGGTAGACGAAGAAAAGGATGAAAGACACATTCTTAAAAGGATTTCTTCGAAAATGAAATAAAAGTTTTAGCTAATTTTAATACTTCTTTGAAATAGACTTTGAATTTTTTCAAACAAAAATTAAAAGAAGTTAGCTTTCAACAAAAAATATTTTTGCTTGTTTTAAGTATTTTTGTTTCATATATTTTATCCAGTTTATTTATATTTTAAATGCACAGTTATATATCTGTACTTGAGAGCCAACTTGTCTTAACTCCAAAAACACAATATTACAATAGGAGCAAAATAGTTTTTTTTTTCCACTTATTCTCTCATAACTTTTTACCTAAATACCTTGTACAATTTATAATACTCTATATGTATGATTAGTTAGTTTTTAACGCGACGAAGATTTCAGATATGCATATAACTCATTTTAACCAAAAAGGGAGTTAAGACAAGTTGGTTCTCAGGTACAGATATAGTTTATGTTGATTTTATTATTGTTATTATATTTGATATTATAAAAAGATTCATGATAAGATTATATGATCTTCTAGAAATCCTGACGATTATATTTGTAATAGTAATTTTTTACTGAAGGTAAGTAAATATAAAAAAAAATAAAAACATATAAGGCTGCGATTGCTGTTTGTTTTTGCTTCACTAGGTTTTTGAGCAGTGCATATGTCACCCGTTTGATGCGTAATTTTTATACACCATGTCCTTATATCGACCATACAAACTTTTTGATTGGAGCCCTTTATAAACGTTCAAAAACATTTTTCTGAGTTGAAGAGTTTTCAGAATCGTTTCAGAACCTTCTATTATCTTCCATAACGTTTTATAATATTCATGTCTTTAAAAGTATGTCAACCTCGTATTCAAAAAAAGCAATATTTTGTATGTCACCAGGTTGACATACTTTTGAAGGATTTTTTTTTTAAATAATATTAGGAAACCGTTAATAATTCAGTTGAGACCCCTAATTTTTTCACTATGTATGAATTGAGCTACAAAATTTTGTATTTTTTGATATTTGCAATTACTAAATCAATGATGTTGTTATTAAGAATTGGTTCTAGCACTGATTGGACTGAAAAATTTAAATATTAAAAAATTCTGTGCTAGATTGACGTCAACAATTTGACCCTCCGTTAATATCCAATTGTATGTCAGAGTAGTTGAAATCACCTATTATTAAAAGACTTAAAAAGGTTTTAATATAGGTAGGAGTGTTTGTAGTGAAATTGTTAATTGCAGTATTTACTTGGTGATTTTAGAGAGATTTTGGTACCAACCAACAAAAATTCTTTCAGTCTTTAAGCGAAATGTATTTCTTTTGTAAATTGCTACACTTCACCTTTTTTCAAACCAGGATTTAGTCATATTACGTGGTTGGTTTTCTTAAGCCAGCATCAACTGAATTTCAACTGAATTTGTAACGTTGGCATTAGTTCCAGCAATTTTATGACTAAAATAATTTTTTTTTTTTTTTTTTTTTTTTTTTTTTAAGCAAAGAGTTTTGTCATATATTAAAATTTACAATGAAATAAATCGTGTTAATAAGAGAACTGGAGCAAGCAGAAGACATAAATTGTCTTATCATCAAGCCCCATCATAAAATTTATACTAAAAAATCGTCAGTTAATATAAAAAATGAAGAGTAGCTAAGTATATAACAAGAATTTTAAATACGTTAGTTACAATATAACTAATAAATATTAGTGTTAAAATATAACGCATTATATCAAAGATTAACAACAATTTAAAAGTATTAAAATTTTTCAACAAAAAATTAAATTAGATTTAAATTGCAACAAAAGAGAAGTAGTGTCAATAACTATTTTTTTAGATAATTTATATTATTTGTGTATTATTTTTAAAAGAGATATTTTAAATCAAAGTCTTTTTGTAATAAGAGATTCTTAGATTCTTTTCTGAATTTTTCCAAAGAGATGTGATGAACATTATTATTTTTTGTGATAAATTTTGAAAAATGTTTCCATAGAAACGGTCCGCGGTTTTGGATTTTGTAAAAATTTAGTTTTGAATTAGTTTTTGGAACAATAAAGTTATTAATTGAAAATTTAGTAGGATACTTGTGCGAGATTTCATTAAAGTAAGACTGAAATACAATAGGAGAGATTTCATGTTTAGTTTTAAACATGAATTGTAGAACTTGGTGTATATTAAGTTTATAGACACTTAGGGCACCGAGCTTCCTTAAAAGAGGTTCACATTGAAAAGTTCTGTGGGCACTAAATATAATCCTGCATGCATGTTTTTGCTTACTATGAAGTTTTTTCAACTTACCATAGTTAGTACTACCCCATACAATATTGCAGTAAGAGATAAAACTATGAATAAATGAAAAGTATAACTTTCTAGAGAAGAGGTGTTAAGATATGATTTAGTTTTATATAATATATAAATATTTCTTGATATTTTATTTTCTATATATTTTATATGTGGTTTCCATGAAAAATTTTCATCTATTATTACTCCTAGAAAATTAACGATTGGTTCCCTTTTAATAAATGTTTTATTGATTACGAGATTGGGTAATTTTAGAGGAACATCACCACCTTTACTAGGTTTGGAAAATAAAATAAAAGTTTTTTCTACATTTAACGAAAGCCTATTGCTTGTAAACCAATCGTTTATTTTGAATAGTTCTTCATTAAATATATTAAAGAAAGCTTTTATATATTTGTTGGAATAAAAAAGGTTGGAGTCATCTGCAAACTATATAACATTTAAAATATTTGATGCTAAGTATAAATCATTTATATACAATAAAAATAATAATGGCCCTAAGATTGAACCTTGGGGCACACCACATGTAATATATTTTTCTTTTTTATTATAAAGAATACATTGTGACCTGTTCGCTAGGTAGTCTTCAAACCAAAGTAAATTTTTATTCTTTATTCCATATAGTTCAAGTTTTTTTATAAGTATCTTATGGTTAACATTGTCAAAGGCTTTCGACAGATCAATAAAAAATCCAAGAGTAAAATAGTCATTATTGAATGCATTTGATACATGATTAACTAGTTCGATTATAGCATGGTTTGTTGAATTATCTTTTTGAAATCCAAATTGTTTACTGTACAGCAAACTGTTTAACATCAAATAGTTGTAAAGTCTGTTGTACATAATTCGTTCCAATAATTTTGAGAAACAGGGTAAAACGGAAATAGGTCTGTAATTGTTAATATTAGTTTCTTCAACTGATTTAAACATGGGAGTGATTAT